AAACACGACTGAACATGTTATTTCACATATCTTAAATCTTGTAACTTTTAACATTTTTCGCTTGCACATCGAAATCGATCTATCTTCGCTTAAAGACTTTGAACGCACTTGTAAATGTGTTTTTAATATATATTAATGTGAATCTGACAGCTGACTATAAGAAATTAATTTTTTTAATACCGAAAATGATAGTACGTCGATCGCTCGCGTCGTAAGTGGAAAAATCAAAAGTTCAAGTTTTCCCCAAATTGAAAATAACGCAAATCCAAATCAGCAGTCTTATTAAGAATCGTTTATAGATGTGTGAACTGAATTTCGTTTCGCTTTAAGTCGCACACTTTAAAAAATACAGCAGTTTAAACAAAACTGTCAAAAATGAATTTTTTCAAATTGAAAATAACGCAAATCCAAATCAGCAGTCTTATTAAGAATCGTTTATAGATTTGTGAAACGAATTTCGTTTCGCTTTAAGTCGCACACTTTAAAAAATACAGCAGTTTAAACAAAACTGTCAAAAATGAATTTTTTCAAATTGAAAATAACGCAAATCCAAATCAGCAGTCTTATTAAGAATCGTTTATAGATGTGTGAACTGAATTTCGTTTCGCTTTAAGTCGCACACTTTAAAAAATACAGCAGTTTAAACAAAACTGTCAAAAATAATTTTTTCAAATTGAAAATAACGCAAATCCAAATCAGCAGTCTTATTAAGAATCGTTTATAGATGTGTGAACTGAATTTCGTTTCGCTTTAAGTCGCACACTTTAAAAAATACAGCAGTTTAAACAAAACTGTCAAAAATGAATTTTTTCAAATTGAAAATAACGCAAATCCAAATCAGCAGTCTTATTAAGAATCGTTTATAGATGTGTGAACTGAATTTCGTTTCGCTTTAAGTCGCACACTTTAAAAAATACAGCAGTTTAAACAAAACTGTCAAAAATGAATTTTTTCAAATTGAAAATAACGCAAATCCAAATCAGCAGTCTTATTAAGAATCGTTTATAGATGTGTGAACTGAATTTCGTTTCGCTTTAAGTCGCACACTTTAAAAAATACAGCAGTTTAAACAAAACTGTCAAAAATGAATTTTTTCAAATTGAAAATAACGCAAATCCAAATCAGCAGTCTTATTAAGAATCGTTTATAGATGTGTGAACTGAATTTCGTTTCGCTTTAAGTCGCACACTTTAAAAAATACAGCAGTTTAAACAAAACTGTCAAAAATGAATTTTTTCAAATTGAAAATAACGCAAATCCAAATCAGCAGTCTTATTAAGAATCGTTTATAGATGTGTGAACTGAATTTCGTTTCGCTTTAAGTCGCACACTTTAAAAAATACAGCAGTTTAAACAAAACTGTCAAAAATTAATTTTTTCAAATTGAAAATAACGCAAATCCAAATCAGCAGTCTTATTAAGAATCGTTTATAGTTTGTGAAATGAATTTCGTTTCGCTTTAAGTCGCACACTTAAAAAATACAGCAGTTTAAACAAAACTGTCAAAAATTAATTTTTTCAAATTGAAAATAACGCAAATCCAAATCAGCAGTCTTATTAAGAATCGTTTATAGATGTGTGAACTGAATTTCGTTTCGCTTTAAGTCGCACACTTTAAAAAATACAGCAGTTTAAACAAAACTGTCAAAAATTAATTTTTTCAAATTGAAAATAACGCAAATCCAAATCAGCAGTCTTATTAAGAATCGTTTATAGATGTGTGAACTGAATTTCGTTTCGCTTTAAGTCGCACACTTTAAAAAATACAGCAGTTTAAACAAAACTGTCAAAAAATAATTTTTTCAAATTGAAAATAACGCAAATCCAAATCAGCAGTCTTATTAAGAATCGTTTATAGAAGTGTGAACGAATTTCGTTTCGCTTTAAGTCGCACACTTTAAAAAATACAGCAGTTTAAACAAAACTGTCAAAAATGAATTTTTTCAAATTGAAAATAACGCAAATCCAAATCAGCAGTCTTATTAAGAATCGTTTATAGATGTGTGAACTGAATTTCGTTTCGCTTTAAGTCGCACACTTTAAAAAATACAGCAGTTTAAACAAAACTGTCAAAAATGAATTTTTTCAAATTGAAAATAACGCAAATCCAAATCAGCAGTCTTATTAAGAATCGTTTATAGATTTGTGAACTGAATTTCGTTTTGCTTTAAGTCGCACACTTTAAAAAATACAGCAGTTTAAACAAAACTGTCAAAAATGAATTTTTTCAAATTGAAAATAACGCAAATCCAAATCAGCAGTCTTATTAAGAATCGTTTATAGTTTGTGAAATGAATTTCGTTTTGCTTTAAGTCGCACACTTTAAAAAATACAGCAGTTTAAACAAAACTGTCAAAAATTAATTTTTTCAAATTGAAAATAACGCAAATCCAAATCAGCAGTCTTATTAAGAATCGTTTATAGATGTGTGAACTGAATTTCGTTTCGCTTTAAGTCGCACACTTTAAAAAATACAGCAGTTTAAACAAAACTGTCAAAAATGAATTTTTTCAAATTGAAAATAACGCAAATCCAAATCAGCAGTCTTATTAAGAATCGTTTATAGATGTGTGAACTGAATTTCGTTTCGCTTTAAGTCGCACACTTTAAAAAATACAGCAGTTTAAACAAAACTGTCAAAAATTAATTTTTTCAAATTGAAAATAACGCAAATCCAAATCAGCAGTCTTATTAAGAATCGTTTATAGTTTTGTGAAATGAATTTCGTTTTGCTTTAAGTCGCACACTTTAAAAAATACAGCAGTTTAAACAAAACTGTCAAAAATTAATTTTTTCAAATTGAAAATAACGCAAATCCAAATCAGCAGTCTTATTAAGAATCGTTTATAGATTTGTGAAATGAATTTCGTTTTGCTTTAAGTCGCACACTTTAAAAAATACAGCAGTTTAAACAAAACTGTCAAAAATTAATTTTTTCAAATTGAAAATAACGCAAATCCAAATCAGCAGTCTTATTAAGAATCGTTTATAGTTTTGTGAAACGAATTTCGTTTTGCTTTAAGTCGCACACTTTAAAAAATACAGCAGTTTAAACAAAACTGTCAAAAATTAATTTTTTCAAATTGAAAATAACGCAAATCCAAATCAGCAGTCTTATTAAGAATCGTTTATAGATGTGTGAACTGAATTTCGTTTCGCTTTAAGTCGCACACTTTAAAAAATACAGCAGTTTAAACAAAACTATCACAGATGAATTTTTTCAAATTTCAAGATTTTTAAATTCTGCTTTGTACATCGATGTAACATTCGTAGGCGAATGTCCCCAACCACAAGAAACGATTATAAACACGACTGAGCATGTATATTTGAAATATTTTATAGATTGTCACTTTTTAAATTTTTAGCTTCAACATCGAAATGAATCTATCTTCGCTTAAAGGCTTTGAACGCACTTGAAATTGTGTTTTTAATATATATTAATGTTAATCTGACAACTGACTATAAGAATTTAATTTTTTTAATACCGAAAATGATAGTACGTCGATCGCTCGCGTTGTCAGTGGAAAAGTTAAAAGTTGAAGTTTTTTCTCAAATTAAAAATAACGCAAATTTAAATACGCAGTTTTATATAGAATTGTTTACAGTTGTTTAAAGTGATTTTCGTTTTGTTTTTATTTGCACAGTTTAGAAATTACAATAGTTTAACATAGTTGTTTTAACTGATATTCGTCAAATTTGAAGATTTTTTAAAATCTGCTTTTTTGAATATAAATTTTGATTGCGATTGTTTCAAACAATTACAAACGAATCGGAATCACATGGAAAAGGAAGATTTGAAAAATCTTCATGATTGACAAATTTGGCTATTGACCATCTTTTTAAACAATTGCAAATTTTAAATTGTACAACTAAAACAAAATGCAAATTACTACTAACACAACTACAAACTCATTGTTCTGAGAATTAAAACTTTTAGGAATTTTTTACATAATTATTTTGCCCGAAAAATATGCTTATATTTTAAATGAATATCATTCGATTTTTAAGTTCTTATTTTAAAGCAATTGTTTAGATCTCTGCAAATTGGCTTCCTGAAAAGTTTTGATAACTAAAAAAATTGTGTCACGGCTTTAGAAAAAAAATAATTTTGGAAAGGTTAAAAACTATATAAAAATTGTTTTGAAAAAAATAGAACTGTTGAAAATCAACTGGTAGCACATTTTTAAATTCGAAAGAGTTAATTTTTCGAGCAAATTAATTGTTTAAAAAATTTTGTTCAAAAAGCATTGTTAAAAAAATAACTGTCTATAAATATCACATTATAATATAACAATCAAATTTTCATCTCGCTCCGATATTTTAAACTTTTACCTAACTTAATTTAAGTATATTAAGTATGTATATAAATCACGCGATTTATTTGGATAAATGATTTCTCAGATACACTTACGAATAGTTAACAATGAAATTTAAATAATCACAAAAGCGAATTCGATTATTTGTGTTATCTCTGGTCTCTATCTTGAACACAGAGAACAATGACACGACGACACACGCAAGTGGAACTTACACTCAGTTTAACAGTAAAAATAGTAATAATAAAAAATAAATTATTTACCATGTAGTACCTTTGCCGTTACCCGATGCCACTTCGGGCCTTCTTCTCCTCTCAGAAGAAACTTTAAAACGCTTGCACTCGCGTTACTTGTTTTTTTCGATCGCGACGAGCGGCGACGTCCGGGTTTTTATTATCACATTTTCGGGAAAAGAGAATCGCGAGAGCTTATTCGCGCACGATGCTCCATTTTCGCGTCGCCACTTACTTCAAGAGCCACCTATCGGAGGGTCTCATCAAACGACGACAGCTAATTCCCTCGCGACGCACTAGAGGTCACTAATATTCCAAAATTGGCCACTGCACTTGATTATATATTTTATATCTCACTTATTCCAAATTTGGGCACTTCACTATATTTTCGCTGATATTCCAAAATTAGCCACTGCACTTTATTATATATTTTATATCTCACTTATTCCAGATTTGGGCACTTCACTATATTTTTCCACTCACTATTTGACGACGAAGAAACCGCGGAAATCGCGCAGGAGCTTCCACGCGCGATAACTCCGAACAACGGAGCGTCGAAATGTCGCCGAAATTCGATAGATAAGAATCGAAATGACTACCGGCGAATGTCGGAAATCGTCCGAGCACCTTGCACACGACACCATTTCGTGAATGCATACGGCACCATTTCGCGGTTGCACCATTTCAGCTCCTCGAGCGAGAATCCGGCGAAAGGAGCATTTCTCGAGCACTATATACACTCGCGGTCGTCGCGTATTTCGATAATGAACAATGAATATATGTATTTCTCGCTCTTTGCCGAGTATTTCCGACTCGATGGTTCACGGCAGAGGCCCAACGTACGATGCCGAGCAACATGGCGGCGCGTCGCGACGTACTTGATTACGAGCTTTTCATGGCGCCCAACGACCTTCGACACGACGGCACGGAAATACGACCAGAGACGCGCGATCGGACTTGCGACGATTAACCATATAAAGATACTCGACACTGTTAACATTCGCACTCGTATACTGTCGCGACCCGGACCGGCAAAAAAGCACGCAAGCATCAGTCCCAAACCGAAGCTTTGCTGCAGGAAGAAGCAAGTAGGAGTGGTGGGGATGTGTGCGCATGCGCGGTGGCGCGGCGAACCAGTGGTTAGCAACCTAGATTGGATCCGCAACTCTATTCTTCTCTAGGATGAAGCTCGCCCGGCCAATCAGAATAGAGATCCTCGGGCTCCGATTGGTCGGAGCCCAATTGACTCTAAGTTAACATATTTTCGAACGCAGTGCACAGTCTAGAGTAAATAAAGTCAGAATTCTTAATTATTTATGAATTTTCACAAAATAAAATGCTAACTTTAAACATACCGAAAAAAACTGAATATGAAAAAATTATTTTATAAAGTTATAAATATTTTTCGTAATGTTTCATAATATTCGTTTCGTACATTATTCCTTGAAATCTAATAACTTTTTAAGAATATAGTTAATTTATTCTATGATTCAAAATTTGTATAAAAAGTATCAAAAAGTATAAAACGAATACAGTATTGTGTATGTGAATTAATTTGGCGTATTTATTTGAACAATTTAAATCCGTTATAGCGTAATTTATATGATTAAATTAATTATTTTTTAGGCCAGTGGACTTACCTTTATTGGCCACAATCATTCTGGCTACATCTAGTCAGTGTAACTTTAATCTCTATCAGAGATATCAATGAAGGAGAGAGATTCCTTCCGTTTCCGGCTATAATTATCATTACCGCCAGTGCATGAGTGTAATTTTACACTCGGATATGACCATAAGAAATCACGATTTGTCATACATCGTTAAATTTATATATATATTGTTAGAAAAATATATATAAAACCAATTTTGATATCAATGACTCGACGTTATGTTACAAAAAATTAGAACAATCAACGTTTGTTAAAAGAATAAATTATTTTTATATATAATGCAATTGTTAATATGTACAATAAATAAAATCACAAGCGCGGTTTTAAATAAAACAAATAAGTGAAATCTGAATTGAATTTTTTATATCGTTCTTTAATTTATATTTTAATTTACACTTATGCAATATGCTTTAATTATGTATATTAAAGTCATTTATCCAAAGTCCAATCTAAGTAAGAATGATTTAATTCTAGTCTATACATTTTAAGGTAACGAATCTATCTTTAATCGATTTAATAAAACATTGGATAATCGAAATGCATAAATGTACAACTTCGTTCAAGTTTTTATCAAATATAGTAACCTTTTTTCATCAGGAAACATCTCTCTTCTTGTATACAAAATATGTGTAAAATTTTAAAACTTACCTCGATCATGGTGAACGATGTGATAACGTGACAACTATACGAAAGATTCAATTTCCGGAGGAAAAAATGTCATCCGTCACTAGAGACGATTATTACATCGAGAATTACTACGATTATGCCATTCATCCACGTTCATTCAATAATTACACCGTTCCAACGACGCATCTCCACTGGAATTCATTAACCCGTCTCGTCCTGACGATCCTGTTGCGCATCGGCTTCGTCCTCGTGCAAATTGGCAGCGTGCCGATCAACAACGTTAATCTGATACTCCTTCAAAATCTGGTCGATCTGTGTTGCGTCACCGTGATGTACTTCCTCACTGGTTTCCTCGTCGCCTACAACGGCGACGTGGCTGGTTTGATCGGCGAAGGTCACTGGATCGGTGATCCCACGATCGACAAAAACGAAGCGATCATCGGCTGGCAAGCGGTGGTGATCGCATCGGCGATCTGCACCGGTGTTATCGTGGGCAGAATGCACACAGTGGGATATCTGCTGGTGAATATTCTCTTAGCCGGTCTGATACAACCGCTGCTGATCCACTGGGCCTGGACCGCTCAAGGATGGATGGCGGAGAACGAATTGGGCGGAAGAATAGTCACTTTCAAGGATTACGCTGGTGCTGGAGTAGTCCACGTCGTCGGAGGATTTTCAGGTCTGATTGGATGTCTCGTTCTCGGCAGAAGAATACTCATATTGAGAGATCTGGATGATGCGAGTATCACCGCCGGTTCCCCTGGGACAGTTTTCGGAGGTCTCCTATTAATATTTGCCGGACTTCAAGTAAACATCTACTTTGAACTGAATAGAATTTTTCTTAGTTGTCATCGTGATTTAATAAAAAATTAGTTTTCATATTTTTTTTAACAATTAATATAAAATATATACTATTAATTATGAAACTGGGAGATAAACATATTTTTAGAATTCTACGAAGACTTCGAACTTCACGGTACTGTCGCGAATCTTGAACTTAAAAGCTCTTTGTAATGCTTTCTAAGCATCGGTCTTTGAATTCCGTATATAGAAACCTCTACTTATGCAAATGCTAACTGTACCATTCAGTGATGTTCTGAACGTTTACAGGGCTTATGCATGAATACGCAGGACCGTGACAAACTCCGAATCTATATGCAAGATCCATCGTACGCGTATGTCAATAATTTGCTAGCCGCGTCCTCGTGTACCCTGTTGGTCGTCGCTCTGCATTTCACATTCAGCCGAGAAGCCTTCAATCATTGGACGGTGATGAGATGTGTTCAAGGCACAATCGCCGGTGTAGTGATAGTATCGGCTGCGGCGAACGATTATTCGCCGCAAATAGCTATTGTCTTGGGTTGTCTGGGTGGTATTGCCTTCTATTTGACCTCCAAACAGGTCTTTCGCAGCGCTCTGGAGGATTACTGCAATATTATAGCTATACACCTTGTTTGCGCGATTCTCGGTAGCGCGTTGGCTCCTCTCTGTCTTGCAAGCACCGACGAAGATACCGTGACGATACTATTGAGTTTCTCCTGGCAATTAATTTGCTTGGTCGCGTTATTGGCTCTGGTTGCTACGGCGATGTTGCTGGTCTTCGGCATCCTGGAATGCTGCGGAATACTTCGTAATAGATCGGAATGTTTCAATCATGCACGAGCTAATGCTGCCATCGGCAGAGGTCCACCGAGATCGTTTCTGCAAAGACTTTTCTTTCCTGATAGCGGATGCCTCTATTTGCAACCTAGCTCGATCTCCGATCCAAAACATGGGCCAAGTGTTGGTTCTAGATCTTGGAAGTATCAAAAAGAGATAGACGAACTTGAAGAAGGGAGATCTATCGAGAGGAAACCAAATGTAAATGTTAAGATTGATGATGAAGTTATGAAAGTTCAAGTACCAGGTTGGTGATACTTGCAAAGTATAAAGTTATATATTCGCGTTCCTCTTCATCATTTTGAATTATTTGACATCAATTCAGTCTTCTTACAATTATAATTCTTTGCTTAAAAATTTTTACACGATTTATTTAATTCTCTCTCGTTCTTTCCATTTATTGCAAATTAAAAAAAAAATATTTTTTAATAATTATTTCAAAACTGATATAAAATCGAAATTAAAAATGAAATCTACAGACATGTAGTTTTAAGAATTAGTTTGTAGTTTCCTTGATAAGAGAAATGATATATTTATATAGAAGCAAGAGTAAAGAAAGCAAGACAAGTGCATACTTTGTCTGGATTTACACCTGCGTTGATAGAGGACCAAGGTGGTACTGGTGAATCGATTAACAATGATCTTTTGGAAATTGGAAGAAGACAATTTTTGGCAAAGAAATAAAATATATTTTAGATCCTATTGAAGAAATAGATGAGGAGATCTTGAAAGAATTTGAAATCAAAGAGGGTAACGTTCGACATAAAATTGAAGATTATAATGTTAATGATAAAAGTTTAATTTTGACGGAAAATTTTAATACGAGAGCTGCAAAACCAAAGAATTTGAACGAGTCGAATTATCAGCTTCGGAGAACCGTAAAACTGACAAATTTATATCATGAATTTATCAAAGAAGACGTGAAAATCGTTTTGGAACCGAAACGCGTAGATTCTTCATCCAGCGATTCGTGTGATGAAGACACTATCTTTGAAAAGACGCCAGAATTGAACGCGCGCGAATCCACAAAAGATATCGCAATAAACAATGATTCATTAATTTATAGTGTAAATTAATTATGTTTCTCGCTAATAAAATTTGGTTCAAACGCGCAGTAGGTATCTTCATGAAACGTCAACGTGATAAAATTATCAAAGGAGCTGACATTCAGAGAATATTGTATATAGCTTTGAGAAAATAGTTTCGTACACAAGAAATAGAACTGTTTCTGCATTTGCTATACCTAAATTATTCTAATTCTATATATTTAGAATAGGATTAATATACACAGAATAGTAAAAAAAATTATATATATATCGGATGTGTACCTGAAAAGAGAATAAAGGGAATCGAGTGTGTATATCATATAAAGTAATTATAAATAAAATTATATTAAAATTAAGGAAGATATGATATTTGAAGTGTGTGAGTGTGTATTAGAAAAAATGTATTATATATTGTATAGCATTTTTCAATATCATTGTTACAAAACTGTCTAGTCTAGAATTTTCAGTGCTTCTTTTATTAGAACTTATAAGCTATTCATACAATTATTACAATATTTTACAATAGAATAATTATAAGTTAAATAATTAAAGTTCATGTTTCTTAAAGTATCATACATACATTCTACGCGCAGTTTTCTTTATCGTACGAATGGCATTTCTCTTTCTGCGTGACAGTTTCTATTGGAACAAAATATTTACAGAATGCTTGTTATTTCTGTGCGCATTTATACGCAAACGATTGCACCCACGAAATTTGGAAGCAGTTAGCAGTACACTATCATTGATTTATAATCAGTATTTGATATAAAACTAAAATTCCAAATATTCGTAATTTAATTAAATCATTTAAAATAATAACAAAACCAATATATATGCTAGTATTTATATATTATATAAATTTTCAACATGTATATATAATTTGATACTAATATGCTGTATATAATATATTTATAATGTATAATATATTTATAATATATTTCAATATGAAAATTTCGAAAATAGAAAAATAAAAAAGCTATATAGAATGTGCAAAATAGAAAGATAGAAAAAGTTCATATGTAAGATAAGGAGTAGAAAAAATAATTATAGGAAACGTGAAATCAATGATGAGATAATGCTTACACTTCTGTGAAATTCTGATAAATTTCGCGGGATTATCATCTACCTCTGTTTGCCGTCAAGTTATTGTCAGGTAGTAGCAAGCCGGACAGTCGTTGCTACCGCCGTACAAAAAAAGATTAAGGATATTGACTCTAAAAATCCAACATGATTGATACGATGATATAATCATATATATACAACACTGGTAAAATGGCACGATTTGATAAAACAGATCAATCAATTGATATTATTTCGCTCTTATTATCAACTACTATTATAATATTAATAATAAACTTTGTACATATGATTCGTTAAACGTTATGGCATAGTTTCAACGGCAGTATAAAAATGAAAACAAATCATACAAACGTAACAAAAGATTTATATATAGAAAATTATCTAACATGATTCATATGTGTAACTCCGATACAGAGATCATCAAACAAAATCACCAGAAACATTCGTAATGTGAAATAACTGTTATGATACTAAAATCACAATGAAATATTTTCTTCACTTGACCTTAGATTGCTCGTCTTGGACCAAGACTATTTTCCTAATGGGCCATACAATATTTATACACTTTTCAATATAAAAAGTGTGGCAAGCAGGTATTATAATACAGGTAACTATCTCATCAGATTCTCAAAATTCCACACATCAACTCTTTACAATGTACAATTAGATAGTCATAGATACACAGTCAATATTATTAAAAATATTTGTACATATAGTTTGCATTGGAGATAATATACATACGTATATATGACCAATAAATAACAAAAAAAAAGATATATGCAATATAAACCAGATCTCATTAGCATTCTTCTCAATCAGCAAAATCTCGTTGGACTGATTTTCAATCTATGTTCTTTTGAGGTACAATAAAATAGATATTTTGCATGAACATCACTCCAAAACGAGCAATTAGATATACACATACACGCACACATACATACAAGAATGCATTCGGTTATTCATATTTCGAAAGTGAAAAAAATATACTGATAAGTAATCTTGAAAAATTGTTATACATTATTTGGACTTAAGCTGAAAGATCAAACCTAGTGCTATTCTTTACAACACTTTTCAAATCCACGATTTATTCAAGTACAACACGCGACAAATTTTAAAATCTTGACACATGCATAATTTCATATATAATTTGTCAGCAGGTAATCTGCGTAGTTTTTCATGTTTATCAATCTAATATTCGCATTCGAGTTTTGACTCTGATAGCATTGATTATTGCAAACGGGCCATTACATCCGAAATCGGCAAACTTTGAAATTTATCTCGGATACGTCTCATGTGCCCTTTTTTTGTATAATACATTTAACGTCAAAATAATACAATTACATCAATATATAAACGGACGCGATCACACACCTTTTGTTAGCTTTTCCATATCGCCGGTACCAAGAATAGTATTGTCAAAATATACAGACTTCTCGTCATTATCGCCATCATCATTGATATTAAATATGCAACGAGACTTAGCATACACTGTATCTCCGAAAGTTGATGGGCTCAGCCCTGAAATTCTACGCTCGTATGGACGTTCCGGCGATTAATGCGAAAAGAACAATCGATGAACCGCCTGATATATGTATATAAAAAAAACCCAGTACAATTCACCAATGATCTTTACACATGAAAAGTATATATTTCTCAAAACATGATTTGGACAAGTCTAATATTGAGGAAATGGAATTTTAATTTTCTAAAATATTGCGTTTATAGTTGAAGAGTATTCTTCGATATAATTTGTACATAACACGCATATATCACGTTTGATATTGTAGTAAAAATTCATTTACTCAGATTTCTCTTTTTATAAATTTCTAGTTCATGGATATATATTTTGTCTTCTGTTATATAAATTTTTCTTTGTCTTTGTATCACAAATTTGCTAAAAACAGGTCCGTAACATTTTTTGTAAGATATACCTTTCTTTTTTTAAATGAATTTCAAGCCGAATGCAAAATGATTGCATTAGTCGGCTTTTTCTTGGCCCAACTTATGCATTGGTAAATAGGACGAAAGGGGCGCCTAATCACAATTGCTGAAATGAGCAACGGCACCAGTGAACTATACATTCTTATAATATCTCATTTATACGATGCGGTAATGATGACAATAATAATAACACATTACAACAAAATCAAACTTTTTGATAATTATTAAGTTCCATTAGTTTATTATGAGGTGACTGCCTCTATAGCACACATTATAGTATCAATCATTTGTATCTATTAAATCTAAATTTTTTTCAAATGTAAAGATTGGCTCAAAGTGGCCAATCTTTACATTTAAAAAAAATTAAGATTTAATAGATACAAATAATTGATACTATGATATGCTACAGAGGCAGTCGCCTCATAATAAACTAATGGAAATAATTATTTTGTTTGTTGTATTGTGTAATAATATAATAGTAATAAAATTAAAAAAATAATAATCTATTAATAATGTTATTTTAGCTTAACAATGATCGACAATTACAATTGTGGCTTCATAAAGCCTCTTAGTGACTAGCTTTTACAAACTCCCTCCAATTAGATTAGGCCAATCCACTGAGATAGGCCAGTCATGGTCTTTCTTCTATTAAATGTAAAATCCAGTGGAGTTTCCAATGTACATTAATTTACAGGTCTTCCATTAGCAAACGATGTATTTCGCTGACAGCGGAAGCAAGTAGCTGGGAAACTCTGGAGTTTCACGTAATTGGCGTTTGCTAGGTCATCACAGTGTCGGTGAGATCTTCCTTCAGCCACTGCGGGATCGTTCTGGAGCCAAGTCGCTTTAATAATTTCACCAAAGCCGTGTTGTGAGATAAATAATACCTCTGCAAAAATACAGCGTTTAAAACACATGTCAGATATATCATATATGTTATATATGGCACGAACAAAAAATACTTTACCTGTAATAATTTGTACGATCTATCTTCCATTGGTGGATACTGGCGACCTTTACTTTTGCCCAGACATTTAGTGCGATCTTCATTGGTTACTTGGCAAAAGAAACCCTTTTTCGGGTCGTATCTTAGATGGGAGGAATAATTAAACGCTGGTGTTATCTTCAAAAATCGTTGCAGTTCGTGCAGAGTTTCCACGGGATTTTGTCGTAATTGTTCGCCATCAATGATGTGTAATTGCTGCGGTAAATAAAACGATAACCATCTCTCTAAATGCTGGGCGTATTTTCCGGGATTTAGACACCTGCAATGAGTGCAATATCCTGTTAAAATTTAACCAAAAATATATATTCATAATATGACAGTCTCATCCATAATCTTAATGCTAATCTGCTCGTTAATCTTCAAATGCTCTAGTGAATAGCCATTCATTCATATATTATTAGGCGAATATCTCTCTTATTGTTCAATTATTACCTATTTCTAAGGTCCCGCAAGGGTTTCGGCGCGGAATCGCTCGCCGTAATAACTTCATGGAAGGAGTAATTGTTCGCTACCGGATCTCCGTGCACTCTGGTATGCTGGTACCATGAATAAGCACGTCTAGCTGGAGACAACAATATAGTGATTAGTTTAGCTTTCGGAAGAAGCGCGTGGGTCCTTCGGGGCACTAATTCTCCATCGAAATAAGTAGCAGATTTCTCAAACAGATATCGAGAACTCTCATTTTTTGACGCCGGAAAAAAGCTCATGTACCTGAAAAAATAATGCGAATTATATATTCCTTATTCTTTATATCTAACAATAGATAGAATCAATATTTCTCGATTGTTCACTTACCAATCAAGACCTTTGTAATAATTCTTTCCATTGAAAAACTGTATCTCTTCAAAGGTATCGGGACTCGGTAAATTGTGCTTATTGCTGGATGAATAGATAGAAACGTGTACAATGCCGTGGTGCCGGATTTA